GCGGCGCGCGGCGATGATGAAAGCGGCGCGAGGCCACGGCTATAAACCCGCCCGCCATAACAGGCCACGCCCACGGCCCCGTGTGAGCCCTGGGGACACCGGGACACAAATAAAAATAAAAAACCGAAACCAAAGAGATCGGGGACAGCGGGGATTGAAAAGAGTGAGGGATAGGGAGCAGGGAACAGACGGGACAGGGAACGGGTTAGGAATGGGGAACAGGCGGGACAGGGAATAGGGAACAGGCGGGTTGGGAATAGGGAACAGGTGGGACAGGGAATAGGGAACAGGTGGGACAGGGAACAGGTGGGACAGGAATAGGGAACAGGTAAGACAGGGAATAGGGAACAGGTGGGATGGGAACGGGGAACAGGCGGGACAGGGAATAGGAACAGGTGGGACCGGGAACAAGTGGGACAGGAATAGGGAACAGGGAATAGGGAACAGGCGGGACAGGGAACAGGCGGGACAGGGAACAGGTGGGACAGGAATAGGGAACAGGTGGGACAAGGAATAGGGAACAGGGGACAGGGAACAGACGGGTTAGGAATAGAGAACAGCCAGGTTAGGGAATAAGCGGGATAGGGAACAGCCGGGTTGGGGAACGAGCGCGATAGGGAACAGTCGGGTTAGGAAACGGGCGGGATATGGAATAGCTGCGTTAGAGAGCAGGCGGGAATAGGGAACAGGTGGGAGCAGGAGGGGCAGGACAATGAATGGCCGCGTTAGGGAGCAGCGGGTAGGGACAGGGTGCCTGCACCGTGTGTGCCCGCAGGAGGGAGCCTGGGCTACGGCTGTTCCCAGTGCCTGAGCGTGGAGTTGTCCTAATCTCCTCTGAACCCTGCTTTGGGTGCTTGACCGGTATCCCTAAGGCTACCTCACCTGCCCGCTGGTCAGCCCGTGCTGGAATGTGGTGCTTCAGATCACATCCCTGCCGAGCCTCTCCGGTGCCTGTCGTGCTCCAGGTGGGAGCTTGGACAGGACACTTCCCACCCGTGAGTCCGGGCACAGCGGGGGATGCGGAATCCCAGGGAGAACACAGGCACAGTGGTGTGATTCGGGCTCTTGTTCAGCACGAGCACCTGATTTTGGGGTGAGACATTCACCTGCTCCTTCCTGCTGCTGCCAGGAGTGCCAGAGACATCCCTGGAGTGTTCCTGCCGGTTAGGCCCGGAAGATCTGCCCCAGGACTGGCTCTGCCTGGCAGGAGATGCCTTTGGAAACTTCTTTTGTTTAAAGCTGCTCGGGGTCTTGCTCCCTCTCTTTCCAGGGGGTGGGAAGGGGTAAATCAGGTGGATTTTCTCAGAGAAAAGCTGGCAGTWGGAGAGCAATGTAGAGCTGCTTTAGAAGGGCTCTGGAGTTTGTAGGARCTGGGGAGGAGAGCACTGGGGGGCTTTGGCCAAACGAGGGACAGTGTGTGTCCTCATGTGGMACTTGGGGACATGGGTTYGTTGGGGCAGTGCTGGGGGAACAGCCGGACTCCATCTCAGAGATCCTTTCCAATCTAAGGGATTGTGTGATTCCCAAATCTGGGAGTGTCCCACGAGCTCTGGAAACTGCCCTCCCACAGCCCCCCTCGCCCCTGGAGTACCTGAGGACCAATTTCCTCCTGCAGCTTCCCTTCTCCACTTGATGGAGACACCAGAGTGCAATTCCAGGCCTGAGCTGGATCGTCTCCTGCCTTGTTTCAAAACCCTGTTAAATCACTGGGCTGGGAAGGTCATAACCAAACGTTTTACACATTTCCCATCAAAGTGACATCARCCCTGCTGACCTGGCACATTTGTGACACCATTAGCGGCTCCTGCTTTGCCCCTCGGCAAGAAGCAATCAAGTTTCATYTCAGGGATTTATCGCTGAAATTTGCAAACAGCTTAAAAACCCAGCCAAACAATCCATGAAGGATGTCTYTGGATTTCCTTAACAGCTCTGTCTGCAACTATCCCAGGCTGCTCCCAGCCCTGTCCAGCCTGGCATTGAGCACTTCCAGGGATCCAGGAGCAGCCACAGCTTCCCCGGACAACCTGTCCGAGGGCTGGAGCTGGTTTTGGGGGGAAGAGCAAAAGCTTTGGGCAGCATTAATCCAGGRAAATGCAAAGCAAGAGGGAGCAGGCTGGCTTTTCCTGAAGGGGCACCAGCAAGGAGGTCAGGCTGTGGAAGGGTGGCCCATGGACATGGTGTTTGCCAGGACTGGGTGTCCCCTGTGCAGGGTGACCCATGGACATGCTGTGTCCCAGGATTGGGTGTCCCCTGTGCAGGGTGACCCATGGACA